TAAAAAATGCTTTAGAGTTTTGTTCCCACAGATGAGAGGTTGTGGATTCCTTCAGGAATATGGATCAGGTGTGATCAAAGGAGACCTCCTGAATCTTGACCGGTGATATCTATCAACAAAGATTACTGCTTGTCTTCCCAGGACTTGGTTTTCCCTTACAGATGCTTTGTCCACAGACAACAGGAAGTAGTCTAAAGAAAACTATGCCTACATTCCCAAGAGTTGGGGGGTGTGGGTGGTTTTTGGTTATTTGGTGGGTTGTGGATGATTGTTGTCATTTATGGGAGCTTTATTAATTATTACTGGTATTGGCAAGGGAGGAAATTATACAAATGATATTACAGTCAGGGATCTCTTTGGAAAAAAAGAAGAAAGGGGGGATATAAGAATGATAATATAGAAGAGTAGATTATTGAAGCTACTTTAAATAATAGGGTAAATTACTGAATCTGCTACAAACTAAGGGACAACTATTAATCTCAAATATTTTGTATTGTAAAGACTTGTATATTGACACAAATTTAAGGTAATTTTTGTTGCAACACACTGTATTATGTTTCTGTTCTGATTTGGGAGATTTTTGTATATTGATAAAAATTTAAGGTTATTTTTGTTACATCATATTGTATATATGTTTTTGTTCTTTTTTAAGGTACTATACCTATGCAGTTCATTTAAAATATAAGGTAGCCGGGCGGTGGTGGCGCACGCCTTTAATCCCAGCACTCGGGAGGCAGAGCCAGGTGGATCTCTGTGAGTTCGAGGCCAGTGAGTTCCAAGTGAGTTCCAGGAGAGGCACAAAGCTACACAGAGAAACCCTGTCTCGAAAAACAAAAAATAAATAAATAAATAAAATATAAGGTAAAGTTCTAGTTTTTGAAAGCTATTATTATAAGCTATATAGGATAATCAGGAAACATAGGTTAGTGGTTAGTCATTTATAATAGTCAAATTTGTAGGTATGTTAGATATGCTTTCCAGATCATATAGAGATATATTTTAGATAGATAAATGGTCTTCAAACCTTTCAAAGACCTACAGAATATGGCATTTAAAATGTTTTGCTACCTTAGGACTTTTCATGACAATGAGACACATCTGCTCCTAACAGAACCAATTTATTTCAGAGATGATGGGCATTGAAGAAATTCTTTATGGAGTTTGCTTTCAATGTGGCAAGACTAGCCATTTAGGCAAGAAGCTGCTCTTGCCTGGACTGATTGACAGTATGTTGTATAAACTGGACATGCAGGACCCACAGGAAAATGACTGCTGAACTTTGCCAAAACAATGCAGGATGGTCCTTCAAGGTTCCTGCTTCACAGAAGAAACTGCCAGACATTCTGCAGGACACAGAAGAAAGCAACTGACAAATTTTGCCAATATAAGCAGAACAGTCTTTCAAATTTCCTGCTTCGTTGAAAACTCTGCCAGATAC